AGTAGCTTCTGATAATCATGTATGCATGGGTATTCTCATTTTAATCACATTTTATAATTTTTAACTATTACTTAAAACTCAGTGTAATCAGCCCATCTGTTAGCAATGGTTATGAAATTATGTTGAAGATTAAAAATCTGATGCAGTGTCAATATGTCCTAGCATAATTAAGCTTGTTTTATGATGAATGACTAGGATATGGCTTCTGTCTACTTGAGCAGCTTTAAAACAGTAAACCTTTTGTAGGCTTACAGTACAAAATGGGAAGGTATGCATAGAACAAGCAAAAAACCCCCACAATTATAAAACTCAGGTCCTGTATTCATAGATGCGGTGTCTTTGCAGGCCTTGGCAAATGCCAGCAGGGTAATTCCGTGTCACAACCAAGTTCGCTGCATTTTTCAGTCCCATCTTTGATCTGTTCTCTCCCTGTAGAATGTCATCCATACAAGCATTAAAAATGCAAGTTTGCTAAATTCTTTATTCATTTTAGAAAGGGCCAACATGACCTGTATTGGCACTGGTGGAAAAATTAGGACAGCATTCACTTACATGAATTGAGGTTATTGCTAAAAATACTTTGTTTTTCAGTACTTTAAGTATTGCAACATAGCCTAATCTACTCACAGCAAGAGTTAACATTTTAAGCATTTTAATTCTGGCATTACTGTGAAACAAGTATATATAATCATCTCTATCGGAAAACCATTCTTTATGTGGACACTTTTCCCTTTAAAACGTGTCCTTGGGGGGGGGGGGGAAAGCCCATTTTGCAAAAATAAAACTGTATAAGCCCTTTATATAGTCTATGTGCTAAACTTCCTGCAAAGTCTTCCTCCCCTACAAAACTCTGCCTGCAGATGAAGTGTTTTAACCTTGCCCTCTTAATTTATTCTACATTCTAATTTTCAATAAACAGATGCCGCCTCTTTTCGCGCTTGTTTCCACATTGTTCCACATTCTGCCTGTGTTGTTTCTGCATGTGTGAATATTCAATTATCTATTTCTCCATGATTCTGCAAGTGATGTACTAAATGTCTGTACAGGTTTGGGGGAGGGTAACTGGGGAAGGCAAAACTTCGAGGAAAAAGAGTTACAGAAGTCTGAACTATTCTGAGAGGCAGATACTTTCCCTGAAAGCTACTAAGCTAAGAAGAAAATGGTAAGCCACAACTAGAAATGCAAGGATTACAAACGTGGTAGTGCACGGAAGCAGATTTGCTGCATGCTGGCTCGTAACACGAAAGTCTGGCTTTAGTCAGTGCTTGGGTGGGAAATGCTCCATAGAGACCAAAGGGGCAGGGGAGGCTGGTGGTGCTGCTGCTTCTGGAGATTGTCTCTTTTTTGGATGAAAATGCCATTTTGGTTATTTATAGCTAAGAAGAGCTGATAACACACCTTAGGACAGGTGCAGTATGCTCTATAAAAGATGAAATAGTAATCTTTACGGGGAATGGCCCAAAAAAAGGAGATCACAGGACAGGTATAGAAGTGCAAAGGCTCTTTACTACAGCTCTCAAGACCTTGTGTCCCAAAAGCTTAGCTGCAGATCTAAGTAGCTTTAATCCGTAAATCTAAGGAATTCAGGGCACACAACTGCACTGACTTCCAAACTTGACAGTCAGTAGCTGCTGCTGCATTATTCAGTTGCAAGGATACCTCTTTCCTGAAGCACCAGTGAGTTCTTACCGGTTGCGACCTGCGCCATTACCTTGCACGCTCCCAGCTGGGAACCCGAGTGACTTGTGTCAGCAGCTGCTCTCACGCGATGCTGATCTGACTCTAGTAACAGAACCATCAAGCATGGAAATATTTTTATTATGGACAGCTTTAAGGCTCTGTGGAAAAACCAACCTAAACTGCCTTTCAGAGGTACGTACCAAAATTGGTAGCTTGGGCAGGAACAACGGTTGGGTTCAAAGGCTTACGTTTGCCAAAAATGGTGCAAAATTGAGAAGAGTGGAGGCGGATGTGGAGCTCGCACACAGGAGCCTGCAACCGATGCAGTCTCAGACACCAAATGGAAAAATGGCTGAGCAAGGACGTGCTGATTCAGAAGCTTCAGCTCACTGGGCTGCCTGTGCCAGCAGGACCCCGCACAGCGGGGGGGCGGCGGGCAAAGCCAGCCTTGCTCTCCCAGCCCCGGCTCCTCGCTGGCAGAGACCCCTCAGCGCGAGCAGAGCCGCTGCGGGCACCAGCGCGCTCTCCGCCTGCTCTGGCATCAACACCCCTCTCTTTTCTTACCTGGCAATACATAACCGGGTTTGCTCACCTGGCAAGGGCTACGTGCCATTTTCTGACTTCAGGTGCAGCAAAGCACCCTCATCTGTCCTGTAGGTCCTACAAACAAAAGCAGAAAGACCCAAAGTGTGGCACAAAAACTTAGGGGCCAAGAGGTTGTCATGAAAGACTTCTCTGTAATCAGTGGAGCCTGATGATTAAGAGCCAGAGCAGAATCCTGACACTAATAGGAGCATATGTGTTTTCCTGAGGCTCTGTGGCTGTGGTATCCTTAACTAATTTAATGCAATTGCACAGCTGTTTAAAACTGCTATTCACCAGTACAGACAATTGGTGATAACAACCGGAACAGTAAAAGCGTCGAAAGGGCAGAACAAACATGATAAATAAGGTTCTTGCCACACAGCCCTGCCTTTCAGTCCTCCAACCAAGAGGCACATGCCGCTTTGCACAGGGAGGCCGCCCCGCTCCGCGTCTCAGACCCGGGCCTCTGTCGCAGCTTGCCGCCGCCGCGCAGTAGCCGGCCAGATCCCTCGTAACCCCTCGCTCTCCAGAAGGAGCAGTTTAGAAATGATTTCATAGCTACAGCTGTGGTAAGCTATGAGGCCTGAGGACAAAAGCCTCAAAACTAAGCTTAGGCATACAAAACCTACTTTGCACTGTCTGGAAGTGCACCGGGCTTTACAAAGGCTCCCAGCACCTGCAGTATAGAAAGTATACGTCAGTTCTGCACCCAGAGAGAAAGCTGATCCCTCGCCTGGTGTAGTACTCCAGGAGGAGGCTCACAGCCCCAAGGATCTCTACACACACTTTTTGATTATTTAGCCACCCTCCTCTTGAAAACAAGACATGTAATGCTCGTGTCCCTTGCAAACCACACACCAGTAGAACTCCGAATAACTGCCGGGCCGGGGCCCTGCAGCCCACACGGGGCAAGAGTCAGATTTTGAAAGTGTAAATGGCCAGTACAAGAGCTGCCCCGTGCGTGCTGATTTCCAGGAGATCAAAGGAATTCAAACAAACAAACAAACGAACAATCCTGATGCACAGCCTATTCACAAGCCTTCACACAGCCTCTTGTGAAGTTAGAGGGAAGTACTGCCTGGATGTAGGCTTGCTTTGTGTGCAGAGGGAGACGTCGTCGGCACTCACGTTAGCGTGCCAAGCGACGACTGTGCAGCTGCAGCTCTGCTCTAGGCAATGAGAGTGAGAAAGCTCAGAAAAAAAAACCCCACACAACTTTCTAACACGAAAATGACTGGAAAAGGAAAGGTGATGTTCTGCGAGTACACTGCCCAGCTGGAGATGGAAATGGCATCAAGTGAAAAAGTTCACCTCCCTGTATCACTAACCAGACCCTGAAAAGTTAGAAGATGCATTTGATTTGGAAACACTGCTCACTGGACTAAGTCAAACCCGTTCCTGTCCAGCAAGCGCAGGCTGTTGCTGCGGCATGTTCGGCACATAGCATTTGCATGAGTGTCAGTAGGAATTTCATAGGTCTGCTCAGATAGCACAGTGGCAGGGAACAGATCAGTAGGTAAGGCAGAGAAGTGCAGAGTACCCATAAATCATAAGTAGAGAAAGATTTAATTACATGCTTGGTTAATATTTACAAACATTGAAGTTGTTTTTAGATATGTAAATAAAAGACAGAAGTAAGAGACAGGGGCTGCAGTAGCCAAGCAAAGCCAAAACATAATAGGTTAGAGTATTTATTGTGAAATGGCATATGCCTGGAGTGTGGAATGGAGACACTATATAAACTGAAAGAATAAATAAATAAATATTGACATTGTTCTACACCTGTTTAGCCTCTGGAGACCAGTGATTTGTGGGACCATATGTTGGACAAAATGAGACTGTTCGTTGATAATTGTAAATGTGGTGACCCCTTGCAAACTGGATATTAAAAATATTAAGTAAATGGCACATTTTAATTATACAGTAAAGAGGCTGTTCTCCACCATTAAAAGACTGCAGCTGTCAGGAGGAATTGATCATATGACAGAAGGTAACATTTATTTGATAGTAGACCTTGGTAAATGACATCCCAAATGATGTTTAGATTCTCAGACGAACACATTCAGTTCAGACTTGGGTTTAACCGTGAGGCTTCGGTGTCTTTGTCTTTCAGCAGAGAATTTTTATCTGTTCCTCATATACTATAGGGCTTGTTTATGTTTTATTTTTGTTTTAATCTGCTTTGCAGTATTTAAATTTCAAATGAAGTATTATTAAATGAGAACCTGTAAATGATGGCATTTGGAATTGGAAGTGAACACATTTGTTATTCTTTTTGCCAAAGGTATTGAGTAAGTTGCATAATTACCATAGTATTATATCACCTTTGTCAACATAAACACAGCTTTCTATCAGCTTTGAAAGCACCACTGGTGAACACCTGAACGTGCAGACTCCAAAGAAGAGCAGCCCAGGAGGAGATGAGAGCATTCACAATGCCTTACAAAGTTGCATAAGGAAAAGTAGAGACAGGTAGCAAGTAGTCACCAGCAGAAATGCCAAACGCTCTCATGTATATGCTTCTACATCTGAGACAGGCGAGAGAAACTGCAGCCAGTTTTTGTAGCTTCCTTCCTGCCTGTTGTGATCCAACTTTAAGACAAATGTGTGAAGGTAAAGCAGCAGCCCGTGAGGATTGATTTTTTCACCAATCCATAGGAACACTTCTATACATGGGGTTTGATTTTTTTTTTTTCCCCTCCGCTCCTGATTTTACGACATGCACGTTCCTTGTCTCACATTGTGCCAATCCTGTGGTGAGGCACTTGCAGAGTCTGAAGGTTGGGGCATGCGAAATAAGGAGCTGGAAGAAAGCACGCTGCTATTCCGTTGGAAGCGAAGGGGAGTGTAGGCCCGTAGAATACTTCTTCCTTCCCCTCCTTGCTAACATCCAGCACCTGCAGGTCAAAGCACACAAAATATTTCAGGGATCACAAAAGAAGCTGAAGTAACTTTGCTGGCACACACCACATATATGTACTAAATCCCAACAGAAAGGAAGTTTCAGATCATTTTTAGACTGTATTTATGGATCTGGTGATCTATTGCTGTCCTCATCACCCAAATCTTACGCTAGCTCAGGCACTCAGTAGCAGACAGTGACACTGGATCTTGCTTCCTGGCAGCAGAACATGCAACCATACAAGTAGGGCTCTGCACAGAAATGCTGCTGTTACCACAGAGTATGAATCATTTCTCAGCTTGGTGCTATATAGGGAGCAAGGGAGCTCTATCGAAGCTGGATAGACCAAATAAATGAATGACTTAAAGAAAATTAAGAGATATGGAAAAAGTGGATTTTTTTCTTCCAAAGGAAAGCGCAACCTCAAATTTGCTGAATTTGAAGATAAAAGGGCTAGTTTTACTGGTTAAAGTCAGGCACACTGCCAACAACAGAGAGGGGCAGCACACACAGCTCTGCCAAAGCACTCATACTTCTTTTTCCTTTAACACGACGACTGTCATGGGCAGGCTGCCAGTTCACAACCTGTTTGGGGATGTGGACAAATGTCTATTTAAGAAAGCAAGACCCCAGGATCATTTTCACTTGTCACTAGGCAGTATTTAAACCCAGGTGCAATACTACAAAGTACCTGCTGATTATAAATGAACGTGTTGGTGGGGTACAACCACTGCCTTGACATTGTGCTATTATTCCATCTGTAGCACTGTATGTCAGCTAGCGAAGCCAGTTTGAATGAATTTTTCCAATACCAGTTGTTAGGTATGGTATCCATCAATTTAGTAAAACAAAGTTATACTATGACCAGAACATGGTTTTAACTCCTTATCTTGCATGATCTATTCTTTACAAAGCCATGCTAGTAAGTGTTCATTATAAGACCAGCAGCTTGACATCTAATACATTCCTTTCTTATGCTAAGGCTAACTTCTAGCCTTATGGGACAGTTTGGAGGTGAAATCCTGAAATCCTTAGGTAGAAGCTAATGAAAATGTTGTTTATCAGCAAAAGTGCAGAAACATGTAAACAAAAGTTTCCGTCTGTAACTGCCCAGCCAGTCACAAATTGCTGTGATATAGATTTGCTTCACTCAGAAAAATGCAGAAAGATAAGAATTCCTAGTTTCTGCACTGGAATATCTGAAAGCCATGGATCTGCAGGCAAGCTGCTCTTACACAAGATGAGAGAGCAGAAGAGTTTGTTGCATCACCTTTTGCCTACAGCAGGGATCAAAAAGCTCCCATTCGAGCTTTGAAGCAGTAAGCACTAGGGCAGGTTGCAGGCTGACTGAACTTTGTCAAAGAAAAACTTGTTAACTTTGGCTGTTCTTCAGAAAGACAACGTGTAGAGAAAAAAAATCACAAGATGGGCTGAAAAAATTGTTAGCCCATGCCCCATCATCCATTTCTGCAACTCTCTTACTTTTGAGCTTGATAGTGTAACCTGAGAATATATACTTACTATTTTACCCAAACCTTGCCAAAGGAGAGACTCCTCAACCCTGTTTTATTAGAATATCTTAGAATAATTGGATCTAATGGCTCATCTGAATATAGTTTTAATATCCACAGTATTTCCTCTCTGTGTTTATGCAGGTTCAGTGGCTGCATAAGAAACATCCTTAACCTCTCCACTTTACATGGATTTTCCCTTTTGAATAACCACTGTGCAAAACATTATCCTTGCAAAATTATTGGAAAAGACTTTAAAAGAAACCTAAATCACTCACTTGGATACATGCCAAAGGCTCATTTGTCCAAATAGAATAGCCACCAACTAAATATATTCTACCATTGTGGACGGCGACTCCAGACTCATTTTGACCTAAAGCAAAAGAGGAAATAGAAACCACTTTCAGTGTTTAATTAACCCTTTTAGCACCAAATGTTGGAGTTCTGTAACACAATGCAAATGTACTTGGCAGTAACTTGCCTGTTTCAGAATTCACAACATGCAACAGCGAAGGTGAAGTGTGAGGGCTGTTTTTTGCTCCCTGTGGGAGCCCCATACGGTGCTGTCCGGAGAGATACCCCAGATGAGCAATAAACAGGCTGTGCAGGGGACCATCTGGTGTCTCCTCAATGGTGCAGGTTTTTATACGCATGTATTTCATAGGTGATAGGCGAGCTCCCTGCCTGCCTCTCAGCTACTATCACACACATACATCCAAGCAGACAGGTAAACAGAGAGAGCTGAACACCTCTTCAAGTTCTGCCCACACCTATTCACCCGCCCATTCCTCCAGGTACAAGTATGGTGAAAACTGCAGAAGCTGCTGTGCAAGCTCATTCCCATAGCAACGGTCTCCTGAACAAGTTTGGAAGGATAAATACAGCCTTAAAAAAACCTGCACTACACAGTGCAACGGGCAGATTTACCACCAGTTGCAGAGACGCAAAAAAAGGCTTAGATGGCTTCTTAAGCACAGGTTGTGGAAACAACCCATCAGGTTGTATCTGAGGACAGGCTACTATCTCACAGCATTTAGTGATACAGTGTCAGCTCCAGAACGAGGGTGCCTGTGGTGCCAGTGCTTTTGTTGTTGCAAATCAGATGATGTCCTTCTCAAAGGCTGTCAATTCCTCCAGATAAGAAAATAAAACAATTAACTGGAGAGCAAAAGGGACACGAAAAACTAATTCTATCTGACAATGCGTTAACTCCTGTTTAATCCACGCCCCTCTCCCCAATGTCTATGAAGTAGTCTGATGACCTGACTCAGAAACCAACCAACCCTTCTCCAGATCCCAGAGATTAAGAAGCCCAATGCAATATCTTAAAGAACAAAGTTGCCACTAGAGAAGCTTTTAAACCTACCAGGAGGAAAATGACATAAGGTCATTCTGTCTTATTGTCATAAATGTCTTATTTGTCAGATGTTGGTTTCTCCGACATAGTGTTTTAGCTATCCTGAGCTTCTAGTTAAGCTCCTACACCCTTTGTAGCCTTTTCAGTGGTAAATCTCAGAAATCAATGCAACGCCAAATGGAAAAGGATGAAAAGTGAGGCAGGCTCAGTTCTAGGACTCCTACAGCAGTCTGCACTGAAATTTTTTTGGCAGCCAGTACTGTTACTAATTGAGCTCCAAGTCTCCAAAAGTGGCCCCAACATTAATGCCATCCTGTCCTGGAAATCCATCCTTTTCTGCAGAGCTACTGTTGGTGCTACTCTGAGAATGTGTCACATGCCTGTCTCAGGGAGTTGAAGGGTTGCACATCTGGGAATTGTATCAGGTGGCGGTGAAATTTGGTGGACTGTGTGGCAAGGACAGTGAGTTGCAGCACTTTGCAAGTTACTACTGTAACAGTTCTTCCTAATGACAGTCAAGAAGAACTTTACAGATCCTGTAGCTAACTGAGCTGCTCAACTCATCAACAGAATTCCAGCAAAGACACCTCCTTTCAGGCAATTTATTACAAGATACTGTTTAGAAATAAGTGATGGTTAATGAATTTCAATGAAAGCTTTGCCCTATAATGCTAGCAGAAAGCACTACAAAATGGTGTTACCATGGTAGAGACAGAATCACACAGAATCACAGAACCGCTAAGGTTGGAAGGACCTTCAAGATCATCAAGTCCAACCATTAACCCAATGCAACCATGTCCCGAAGCGCCACGTCCACACATTTTTTGAATACTTCCAGAGATGGTGACTGCACCACCTCCCTGGGCAGCCTGTTCCAATGCTTGGCCACTCTCTTGGTGAAGAAGTTTTTCCTAATATCCAGCCTAAACCTCCCCTGTCACAACTTGAGGCCATTTCCTCTCGTCCTATCACTAGTTACTTGGGAGAAGAGACCAACACCCACATTGCCACAACCCCCTTTCAGGTAGTTGTAGAGAGCGATAAGGTCTCCCCTCAGCCTCCTCTTCTCCAGACTGAACAACCCCAGTTCCCTCAGCTGCTCCCCATAAGACTTGTGCTCCAGACCCCTCACCAGGTTCTTTGCCCTTCTCCGGACACACTCCAGCACATCCAACATCCTCCGACATATCTGCCTGTTGTACACTCAAACAGGGAGCTAAATCTACCACTGCAGGCAAGCTTTTGGAGAAACAAAAATAAGTACTGGTAACACTGTGACAAATTATTTTTGATTGCTTAATTAAATTAAGTTTATGTGCACTTTCTTAAAAACTTAGTCTACAATGTCCTAAAGCTAATGTTTTGTAGAACACTGAATGCCAGAAGAGTAATCAAAAGTGTCTTGTTGGCCAACAATGGTGCCTAAATCGGAAGCAATTGCAGCGAAGTCGTGGAGTTCCACATACTAAAGGCATCTAAAGGGAAAAGAATTGGTGTTTTGTTTTAATAGTAGAGAGTTTCCCCTTTTGGTGTATAATACTTGCCTGTCAACATGTTGAAGCTGCAACGTGTCCACTGGTCAGCGTCTATGCTGTAGGAGTCTATATGCCGAACCAGGATACGATCATTGTTGTAGTCCAGATCATTTCCACCTAACACGTAAAGTTTCCTTTGGACAGCAGCCATGGAGTGATACACTCTCCTCTGCAACATCGGGCTACGGCTTAACCACTTATTCTGGAAAGAGAGAGAACCTGTCTCAGCACTGCTCAAAGGCATACCTATACTAGTCATACAGTAATAGTAGCCTGGTTACTGGTGTTCTCCTTACCCTTGGCCAGAAATCACAAGCGTATATACTCGTGTTGTTCATATGTTAAACATCTGTGTCGGTTATAACACTGACTAGACATACTGAACTTTCAACCCGTGGTTTACAGTTCTCACATTTAAATTAATTAATTTAATAGTATTTCTTGCTCTGTATTTTTTCTGTTTAGCTCATCAGGTTTCAAAGCTTTTTTTGCTTCTTTATAATTCAGTAGCAAATCCTCCTTAAGTAAGACTATCAGATGTCTTTTTTGTATACAGTGCTAAAATTATCTGTACCAACTAGCTCTGTTATGAGAAGAGAGATTCTTCTACCTTTTGTTATTCAGAAGCTTATTTGATCTTATCCTTGGGGAATGAAGCAACAGGGAAAAATAATTTCCTAAAGAATCTTCTCAAATGATTCACGTATTTGGTTTAATGCTAACCCTTTAATTGTGGGCACTTACAAAGTAACATCCTTTTGCATATTTTTCTTCCTGGTTAACAATATTCAAGAACTCTACCCGTTCAGGGGAGGGGCAAGAGGACACGCAAGAAGAGGGATTAAAGCACAGTCTTTCAAACCTAAGAAAACAATTGCTACGCTTACCAAATCAAACAACCTGGCAATGGATGACATTAATTTATTTAAGCGGAGGAAGTTAAAATCTGTGAGGAAATTCTTTGCGTTGCACGTGCTAGCGCTCGCGGTAACTCAAGAGCCTCTAACACCATTGCCTTTTAACCTCCGCAATATATAGCTATACATTTCACTGGGTAATAGCTGAATATTAGGCATTAATGTTTGCATTAGTAGTCCAGTCTCTTAACACCAGACTATAGACACCATCTGCTTTGCAAAGCCTGCCCGCATCCCCTGATTACATCTTCAGCTTCCTCCACTGCAGTGCCTGCCAGGTGAGCCGCGAAGCGCTGCAAAGGCAGGGAAACAGAGGGGCCTGGTGGGGTCATTTCTAATAAGCCGGCGTGTGAATACTAATCAGTGGTGGGGACGCAGAGGTCACCCCAGCCGGCTTGTTGGCAGGTAGCTGTGTGCTCGGTGGCAGATGGCAGGCATTATCGACTCGCCACAAAGGCCTCGCGCGGAAGCAAGCGCCGGTGCTGAATGATAGAGTTATTGAGATTCTGTGCGAGATGCAAGCAGATGTGATGGTTTCCAGTACCCACCGTAAACAATATGCCAGCAGAATTTTTAAAAAGAGCTTGTGTGTACAAACACGAAGCGGGCCCCATTTGAAGAATGCGAGCGCACACTTCCTCTGTAACTCTTTACGCACCAGGCCGGGTTTCTCGCCGTCGGGACGGCACGCTGGAGCCCTGCCACTGGTATTTCGGGGTGCAACTTTCACACCGGCAAGTAAGGAATCAAAGGAAAAGACACAGAGTAGAGACACAGTATCCGTAAGAGTGTCCCCCTCATAAGCAAAATAAGATTGCTGCCTGGAACTACTACTTGGATTTAGGACAGAGTCAGCATTAGTACAGTCGATGCCTAAAACCGCACCTCAAAAAGAAAGAGGCAGGTGTGTCGTTGCCTGCTTTCTGCTTCAGGGCCCGTATGTGCTATGCTTCAAGAAGCCAGTGGGAACCGCGTGGAAGTATCTCCTGGCACAATTTGGTTCCAAATACGGCAATCAAAGCCCCTATGCTATAATCAGAAACGTCAATACTCTTCTGCACGGGTGTAAATCAGGCTATGCAACTGATTGCAAGCTTAGGACTTTTAATTCCTAATACAAGCGAGAGGGATAACCATGCCCTAACCCTCTGAAATGGTTACTGAGCCATGCTAACCTAATCAAAACACATACATAATGTATGAAATAATCCCTAAAAGATATTTTAGGTGCTTGGGTAATGAAATGATAGGCACCCTTGCAGTCAGCAGCATAAGTCACGGCCAGGTACTGTAGTTCTGAAAGTACGCAGAAAACAAAAAGCCCATACATGCAATTCAAAGCAGAAATGCCAATGACAAGGAGCAGTTTTGTGACACTGGCTTTGAGTGTATGTTGCCCTGGGCTGCTGGATTACAAAAAAATGAACAAACAAAATAAATACTAATAAATACAGGGGATTTAAAGCACATTTCTGTATTTAATCTAGATGTTCCTAAGACCTGCAGGCTTAAAAAATATAATAGAAAGTCAGGGTCTCCATTACTCTGTTAAACTCGCACATCAGTACAAAGTGAATTTAAAACACCATTAATTCAAACAGTCAGCATTTTTAGCCTTTTAAAATCATTGTATGTATTTGCTAAGAGACGTGTTTGAAGCAAAACATATGAGAAAAACACATACAACACAGATACCCACCTGCTTAGGATCATAGACCATGAGCCTGTTTTGATACTGTGCAGTATTTGTTACTCCTCCTATGAAAGAGTTTATACAGGTTACATTTCTTCATATAAGCAAAACCAGGACCAAGATCAGGTACAGCAAAAGAACCAATTCTGGGGTTCATTTGCTGACATAATTACATTGCATACCACCACTTATGCTTCTATTCCACTGCACTTTTTAATCTGGTTACAAGGTAATAAGTAGCGCGTTTGTCAAACATCTATAAACAGAAAATAGCAACAACAAACACCCCCCCACACACTTCCTTTGTAAAGCTAATTCTATGGGCTAAAAACGAGATAAAAATTGATCTGTTTATAAATGACTGTGCATTCAGTGGTCGTCAAGACATGAAGATAAAACCCATCCCTGTTCCAAGGAGCGTGCAGTGTGTGACACGGTTTAACGGAGGAGGAGGTGGACTTGCATCAGAGAGAAGGAAGATGTCGGAGGGGAGCTCTGCCTAACGAGGAGCGTGACGTGGGACACCACTGCCAGCTGGAAAGCATAGCGCAACCCTGTGCAACTACACTCACCTATATATTTGAAGGAAATTCTGCATTTAGTCTGTATTACAGAAAGAACAGCTCCTGGTTTAATTGTAGACTTATGTTGGGACATTCCTCTATAGCGACCAGAAACACTACCATTTAGCATACATACCTTTCAATAATGTTTGGAAAGCAGGGTATAAAGCACCTCAGAAAATCCTGGAACAGAATCTGACCCAAACCAACTATTTACCTCAACAAAGTATTGTTCAATCCCCGATCATCCTGTACTCCATTGGTTTTAAATGGCAAATCTCACTGAGTAAACTGGTGGAAAAATTCTTCAGTCTCAAGTCTGTAATAAACATGTTCTTGAGCGTACTCAAGCCTCCTGGGAACATGGTGTCACTGCAGCACTGCCACAGGTCCCAGTCCCCCTCTGTCACCACCCTGGACCCACAGGAAGATGGGACCAGCCTAAAAGCTGCACCTCACCTTTCAACCTACCAGGAGGTCTGGACTTAACTAGGGTACACCAGTGGCACTCATACTGACAAACTTTTTATATTACAGTTTTAAGAGCATGTCCACAAAATCCACAACAATGAGGAATGAATTTCAGCTGTCATTACATTTGTTTATGCTTTGCTTCTTGTGAGGACATCCCCTGTTTCAGACAGAGCAGCAGCAGAGCTGCTTTCATTCCTGTGGCTGAGCTATGGCCCAAGCACTGGATTTTTTCTTTTATCCCCAACCAGTCTTAACATGCCTCCGTGCTGGGGAATCCTCATTTTCCCAGCCTCCATCTGCACCTAGCGCAGCATTTTGGTTCAGAGCCATACTGTGATTTTGAAGTGACTCCCCTCACACATCATTTCAGGCTGCAGGGCGATACTGGTGTGCATTCAAGTTAAACCAGAATCTCCACTCCAAATGTGCACCAGTTGTGCTCCAGTTCCTAACAGAAGCATAAGGGTGTCAAATAATAAGTGGTCTTTCGGATGGTTTTGTACCAGAATAAATCCAGCCCAAAGCAAAAAATGTGAACTGTACATGGAGTAGATACAGAGAACTGGGCACCAAGGTTTTGTCTGCTGATCTGCTCCTACTGGGCTTAGCTACACAGATGCACCCTTTGGTCACTTCAAGTAACTTGATGGAGGCCAAGAACCTGCTCAATGGATAGCAGCAACTGTGGACAAGAGTCTTTTCTTCAGCCACAGTGGCAGGGAGGAGTAACGCCGTTATTTGGGCACACCTCTGCAAGCACCAGCCTGTACTGGGGCCCCTACACATGGACCACAAGCTCCCAGCCCAGAGGCACTTACAGGCTACGAGGCAGCCGTGATCAGATGTAGTCTTTCCACCACATTATGCCACGCACTGCCCATCACAGCACCTGTGAAGTACACACGCAAGAACGCGCACTGGAAAGCAGTGACTGTTCCCATATCTAATCTCACAGTCTGTGATTTGTCTCTACACTGCTCTGCAGCCTTCACAGCGTTAGCGGCCGTCAGCCACATGCACGAAACAATCTTTTCTAGTATCTGCTTTGTAATTTGATTTTCTTTTACATACTTATTTTCACTTCTAGCCTAATTTTTAAAAATGAAATGTCTGATTAGTATTTTGAAAAATAAAAATCATAGTTATTTGGATGATTACCTCCAGAGTGTAAACTACAGGAAATGCATCGGAAACACAATGCTGGGTCTCATATTTTCATTCAGACAATAAGGACACCTTAATTTGGGGGGAAAGATGTGGAGGAAGAAGAGAAAGAAGGGGGCTGCTTCCTCGTAAAATAATGAATAATCAAATAAGCAAAATTATTTGCCTCTCTTCACAAAGAGCCCCTCATATCAAGTACACAGCTTACATTTTTCCCCTGCAATATTGCTCATCTGTGGTGTTTTACAATTACATTCCCTTCACATACCGCTCTAATCTGCCAAAATGAGATGCTAAGGATTTGCATACAGATTTGACTACACAAAAATAGATCTGGAATTAATAACAGTCTCTATATGTTTTAATTTCTTCTAGACTGGAGTACCCTTGCCTCCAGCAGTATTCTTGGCTTTGAAAGTCATCAAGCTGATTTGTCTGCTCTTAGGTTATGATGCCACATGCTGCTACACTGTCCCCTGCAATCAAAGTGCTCGCAGAGATAGATTCCATGCCTTCCCCTAACAAGTATATTTTATAGATTGGCAGTTTTGATCTCCCCTCCCCAGGGGGATAATCTGCATCTTAACAGGTTTCTATAGATACATCTGTCATTAAATATGCCATCTTATATCTGCATCAATTTTCAAACTCAAGTTCTTCCTAACTTTGAAGTGCTATAGCAAAAGTTTAAATTTTTCTGCCAAAATTCAAATTTAACAAGTCTGCAATGTCCTCTTGAACTGTTTTTTTTAAAAATACTCCAGGCAGCTGGGAAAGGGCAAAAGAAGAGCAATATGTCTTTTAAGAAATAGGAAAAGGAAAAAAAAAGTTTAAATGGTACTAAAAATAATACATACTTTCTCAAAAAAAAAAAAGGGGTAATTCTGCGATAATTTCTTAAACTTCTCTGCAGTGCCTTCTCCGAGGGAAGGAGGAAAAAGGCAGGGAGGCATCATAACTACACTTGAAAAGAAATATTTAAAAATACAAACCCTGTTATTAAATTTGATGTCAAGCAACAGCAGCTAATGTGGTAGTAAACCATCAGTTAAGGAAAGAAAAAACGTCTAGATGAGTAAATGACAGAAAATTTACAGTTTTGTCAGTGCTCGCTGGGCTTTATAAACTGAGAGCGATGATTGCACCGCTGTGACATGAGCGGCTTGTTTTGAGGACTAGAGTTTCCAGGAGCCAAGAAGCACGCTGAGGACAAGCCTGTCTGTCTTGCTCTTACAGCTGCAAGAACACACTCATGGGAAGCCCAGCACCCAACCCTTGAGCTTACAATTTTTTACACTGCCACAATCACTGTTGCTCACTCCCTTGCAGGCTGTAAACCCTGCTTTTTAAGCCCTCCAAGACCCGTAAGTTCCCAACTCATGCAACAGTGCACCTCTACATGGAGAGGTCCTGGAGGAGTCCAAGATCCACCTTGTCCAGCCCTTCCCCACACATGGGGGAAGGTTTGTTTTGATTCGTTACACTATTTGGTATTTTGGTTTGTTACAGTCCCCCAACTGCACTAAAAAGCACCTTCAATAAAGACACCTCCAAAAAGAGAAGGGTGAGAGGCAGTAGATTCAACACCATTTTCCCAATCAAAAATTAATAATCCACATTTATAACATGTCCTAGTAAGACCCCCACATGACTTGAGAAATCTAATCCAATCTAAATCCCCCAGAAAATCTCACAACTCTCTCTGAAATCCCCAAGTGCTAGGCTGCACGCACGAATCCCAGTTTGCTGGGAGACGTGTAAAACTACATGTTGGCAAAGAGCTCCCACGTGTATTCCTTCCAGCAAATCCAGGGAATATATAGAAACTCATGACAGGCACCCCAAGGTGCTCTGCTATTTTAAAATAGAAAACTCTCCTCTCTTACGCATCTGTGTGTTAAACACAAGACAATCCTTCCTCAACATGCAAGCCTTTTACTTCAGCCAGCCCAGGTGCAGTGAGGACAGCTGAGCTGGAGCATATTCTCCCATCCTAACAAGTGCTGGAAGACACCACCAGCAGCTCTAATTAACACTGTTCCACCTCGGATGCAATCCAGCTGCAAACAAGAGGGGCACAAGCCCTAGTTTTTTTGTGGGTGGTTTTTTTTTTTTTAAATCGTTAAAACTTGATGTTTACATTCAATCTAAGAAGAATCAATGGCATCAAACCTGTAATGTCCATGCTTGAAAGTTGTGAGATCCAAATATAATAATAATAATAACAATAATAATAATAGAAACACTGTTCCATATACAGACTAAGACTGAGTCACTGAGGCGATTTTTATGTACTTGTTAAGCTCCTGATCCTGGTAATTTCTGTGCCAGCTGCACTGCAAGATTTGATTTGGTTAGACACCATAGATTCCTACTTATTTCAGATCTACTTTTCATGAAACAATTTTATAGGTATTTACTGAGAAAAAACAGCGTACTGGTTGTAAGGTAATACTTTTCCCCCCAAACCACTAGCAAACTTTGAATAATTTTTGAAGATATGTGTTCTCCATCATTACCTTGGTCAAAATCTCAACCATTAGGGAAAAAAAAAAATAATAAAAAGAATCTTGAAGAAAAAGCTGTTACATACGAAGCAGCTGTATGCAGTTGGCTTATTTACCCCCCTTCCAAGCTGAGTTTCCATGTGCATGTCAAGATGTGATTTCAGCTGACACACTTAAGGTCAGGCAACTCCGACCTCTGCGAAACAACAGCATAATATTTTGCTTTAGAGAAGACTTTTCATGTGCTAATCTCTTGAGCACTTGAGGCTGAGAGGAAGCCTCGTTATCCGCAGCTGCAGGCGCAGGAACGGCCCAGAGCTGAACTGCCTGGCAGAGGTTCCCTGCCCCTCTCTGTCCCACGGGCACTACACCTATACGGCAGGAGGAAGGTTAACCTATACAGAAAGCAGGTGTCCAGATTCGCATGTGCGTGCCATGGAGGATGCAGGGAAAGGGGCATAGTTCAAGTCCTCACTCTTATGGAAAATATTTCCCTCCTTTTATAGGGAATGATTGTTAGTAATGTTGAATTCCAAAGGGTTTGGTGCTTTTTTTTTTTTCTCTTTCACTCGAATATTTCACTTTTCAAGCATGTGGCATGCAATTTATTTGTGAAATGGGTCATAGTGTCAGATGTTAACTGGAGCCTGTAAGATTAATCTTTCTATAAAATTTCAAAACCATCTGCCCAATGCTGTACTGTCAATAGGGGAAACTTATTTTAATGAATTCACATGCACTTTTTAAAATAAGAAAATAAAATAAAAAGTGGGCTGAGAAAAAATTTTTAAAAAGACGAGAAAAAATAATGACACAAATATAAAAATATGTTCCACAATACATGGAGCTCAGAAAACTCAAGAGCTAAACCCACTTCTGCTGACCAGAGGGTCTGACTAGTTCCAGAGTGCAGAAGGCTCCCTCTGAGCCTTCTGGCAGGTTAAAAACCCCAAAGGGGTGGTGGCAGCTTAGGAGTCCCTCTGTCACCTGAAACACCAGCCACCCGTCTCCTACTTCCAGCATATGCTTTCAGCATTTTCTTTAACACACTTACCTGCTGCCTTTGCCATTATTTTATGCTCTATTATTTTTTATTCCTTCTCGTATTTGTCCCAAAGGAGCAGCAAAGTAAAGCCGACAATGAATCCCAATAAAAATAATAGAAACGCCTTTAGTCTAGTCAGCTTTTGATTAGCAAAGCCTTTACAAGATAAGAGGCCGTAGCAGAGGTGCTGATGCTTTGGCTATAGAATAAGTAAACAGTCTTGTGTGGGGGTCATATTTTGATAACTCTCTCCACAAATACGAGGGCTAGAAACTTATATTATCCTATTTAATTTATTCACTTACTAAAAAAACGGGGCACATTTTCATGGTTACCTTGCCAGCTGGTAGTAGCAGCCTGACTTTGAGAGCTCTTGCTGATGACCCATATTTCCCAGAAAAAACAGCAGGGATACAGCTCAGAAACCTCCCTAACTCAGACTAATTTTTTAATTACTTAATATTAGGCCACAGACTTCAAAATTAGGTTCCCTCCTGCATTACTGATTACTGTTATGCTAACATTTTACATTTGATGATGAACAGTGGATTTTTTAAGCAGTGACTACTGATATTTTTGGAAGAATAAAACATGTCTATTATTCCCCTGCCCCTGAATATACACGTACAGCAAGCCACATTCTAGCCCTAAGCAATTAATTAATAATAGAAAGCTAGCTACAGTTATTGCATCTCCATCTACTTTTATTTATAAAATAACTGTATTCAATACACAGAACCCAGTTTTCAATCTGTGAGTACATAATTCAGATCAATACCCTACTGAAGTATTGCATAGGGTGCTCTGGTAATTCATAATAACCTGTCACAATCTAGCAACTCAAAACTGCTAAGCGTTTTCTCAAAAACTATACAAAACATGACCAAAAAGTCCTGCCTATCTTATTCCACTGCAAAAATGTTGCTCCTCACTCTGACTTTACAACAGAAGTTATGTTGGTAGCATTTGAAAATATAAATGGAACAATAGTGATAAAATATTTTTGTTGTTTTGCCCAATTCTAAAGAGTTCATCTAACAGGCTTCCACTTACCTCTTCCCCTGATTCTACAGCTGCATTAGAGGCATATCCTTGAACAGAATAAATGCAGATAGTATTTAAACACACAGGCAGGCAGGCATTTCACTTATGTAACTAAGCACATTAATTAATCCTCAGCATAATTTTCCCTTTCCTAGCATATCTGGAAAGAGTAAAAGTAATCTTCAACCAGTCCCACATTTGACTTAAAAATCTCTATCAAATACTTTCTTGGGGGGGTTTTGTACAGGAAAAAAAAAAAGAAATTAAGAAAAAAATACTACTTTTTTCATGTACCGGAACAAGGACCACACTCTAATGGATGTTTCTAGTGCTCGCTCAATGATTTTATACTAATATATTTAACACGGTTTCCTAAAAAGTCCTGTTTTTCATAAATAGAGACTGACAAATGCAAACCACAAGAGGAGAAGGGGAAAAAAATAAAAATCAAGACACAGCAGTAGTAGCATCCATATGTATTTGAATTGCCTGTCACAGGCACACATCTCTCTCCACTGATAAAACAGGAAAGGTAGTGAATGAACAGGGTAACGCTCTGAACACGCCCAGCTGGTGCCCCAGAGCAGAAGCCCTGTTTCTGTTCCGCACCTGGGTCTCAAAGCCTCCTGTGTGCGCACATCAGGATTAACACACAGCACAAACTTTGCAAGACTCCTTCAATGCCAGTTGTTGAAAGAAAGTGACCCAAAGCACCTGCTAGGGATCCTGGCGATCTTCTGTGTTCTGTCATGCTTTTAATTCCAAAGCCATTTTTCGTTATTTTAGTTTCTATGTGTAAAAATAGATACCTGCTACCTCACCTTCCAATGCTTGGGAATCCATTCCATAAGGCATTTAATCCATATGGGCAGAAAGATACATCTGCAAGGAGCTCCACTAACCTAAATGACATACTTTGAGAATCGTTAGGGTTGGAAGAGACCTTTAAGATCATCGAGTCCATCCGTTAACCCTGCACTGTCAATTCCACCACTAAACGACGTCCCTAAGTGTCACATCTACACATCTTTTAAACACCTCTCGGGATGATGACTCCACCACTTCTCTGGGCAGAAGCACAGCAAAGGCCTAAGTAACGAACTTACTCTTTTGTTCATATACCATCTTTTCACCAGAGGGATCCCAGACTGCATTAAAATCCCCAGAGGGTATATACAGTGAAGATGGCAATCACTGAACATTTTCCTCAAGAGCTGGCCCTATTTAGTCCTTAATTTCCTTATAAATATTACAACCTTATAACCTTCCATGACACACTTCTTACTAAAAGGTGGGGTTGTTTTTCCTGTAGACAGCACCTTGTTCCAAAGCAATAACAGAAAAGTCACTACAAAGATTGATGGCACAGTATCCTCAACTCCCATCAACGTGCACGTGTAAAATAAAGAGTACATCAGACTGAGTTGCAAATGATATGTTAGTTTAAGATTACAAGGCCTATACTTTCATCTAGCTGTGCCATAAAGCTATGATGACTTAAGGCAGTCCTGTGCACTTGTTACAGACAGAGCTGTGCATGATTTCTAACAAAGGTCGTCTTGGCCCATTACAATATCCTCAAGAGCAAGTGGGAGCAGTTCATACACCTGCCTTCAAGCCCTAGGTCTACACAAGCCAGCAAGCACTTAATTCTCCGTTTCATTATCATGAATAAACGCAGTGGTACCAGTCATACAACAGAAACTGGGTCTTGTTTTTTGTTTTTAGGAAGCACACAGAATTTGTCATCTGAAATTTGTCCAAAAGTGCATTATCATTTTGATTCACTGTGATTTAGGAATGGCAACCGGAGATAGCACATACGATATATGCCGCCTAGAAACACAGAGAGATATTTAGCAGACAAAAAAATATCATACAGGTACGAAATGCTGCTATACCTCTAAGCACGCTTGTTTTTATGCTTCCAGGCTTAAATTCTTTGAAATACCCATCTCCTAAGACAAAAGTTATCCTGATATATAAACCTAGGAAGACTTATTAGTTTCATTCGAGACAGTATTTTGGTATTTTGTTAGTACCTCAAACTGTGTGAAACTTTTTCTACCTGATATCCAAAGAAGACCATCCACCACATATCCTGCATGGCATGAGAGCGATCGATCAAAGGACTGTACAAAGGTCCACTTGTTCTTCTTGGGGCAATAGCGTTCCACTGTAGGTAACACTTGACGCAATTCATTTCTGCCCCCTACCGCATAGAGGTACTCGTCCACTGCTCCCAGCACAAAGTGTTCCCGACAGTTCTTCATTGGAGCTATCTCAGCCCAAGAGTTAGTGCGGGGGTCATATCGACAGGCAGTTCTCACCGCACAAGTACGCCCTGTGGAGTGCTCTGCCTCTCCACCAGCTACAAAAAGAAAGTCTCCCATGACAGCAACACAGTGGTGGCTTCTCCCTACAGGCATAGGCGCTAGCTCACTCCAGTTTGCAATCCCTGCGATATGAACGTTCTCTTGATCTACCGGATTGAAGTATCGCAATTCCTTCACTTTACAGATTTCACGTTTTTTCCCACCAATAATGTAAAGAGTGTCTGACTGGAAGCGAGGTTTTGTCCTTCTGGTTTGCCAAACTGGCTGTGCATAGACGCTCTGGTGGTAAGCCAAGGCCTCATTAATAAGTGCTGTCGCAGTTTCACTAGCTTGAACAAGAGGATGAGAAAGAGCTACGGTATGCAGCGTATCCACATCCATAAGGCCAAAGCGGACATACTGGAGAAGTTCATCCATGTACTGGTAGCGGCAGTTGTGTTCCAACCACCTCACAGCCAGCTAAAAGCAGGGGGAAGGAAGGGAAAAACAAGACACCAATTATTTGTGTACAATTCTGTCAAAATTTGGTCTTTTGAAAAGTGGCTTTCATTCTAAGACGAGCTATATATATATACTTGCTTCAGTAGTGGTATCAATCAATATAAAATGTAGTTATGAATGAATGTGAGTCAACATAAAAGATACCAACTAAAACTCCATCTATAACATACATAAAAGTTTTGTTATGGCACCACTCCCCCTAAAGAATTTCCGCAGCGTTATCAGATTGCAATACTGCTATGCAATACTCTTGCCGTGCAAACTGTTAGCGATGCTGTAGGAGACCACTATATCCCAGAATCTACCTGCTGGAGCAATAATATAAATGCAGGGACTGTGTGACCACTGGACGCCATGGGTATACTAGAAAGAAAATTAAGATTACCATCAGATGATTAAAAAAATCTCCCCTCCATCTTTCATTCTATTTATGACAAAATATTGAAGGAATGTAACAAAATACATACCAAATACTTCAGTATTTTTTTTCCTCCTTCATTTATTTTATTCATAAAGTGGAGAGAAGCATAAAGGGACCAGAAATTAAGCCAGAGAACCAGAGAAGAGGCTCTGCTGGTTTGGATCTGACAGAAAGTGGCTAAAACTGTTCAGCAACTGCAGCTGGTATCGACCACCAAAATTAAACATAATCTTTAAACTACATAAAGCATATTGAATCCAACCGGGTCTAATAAGAGGCTAGGAAGAGCCTAAACCATTTTGAAAACTGTTGTGTAAGTTGTTCTTGGAAACCTCCAGTGATGAAGATACCCAGACTTCCTCAGGAAAATAATTCCCATGCTCAGATATCCTCTTCGACAGATTTTCCTCTTACTTACACAGGAGCTCTAAACCCTTCAACTCATTGCTTAATTTTCCAGCTTTGGGTTTATACTCCAGAGCTGAGGGACCCCCACACCAACCCTTGAAATTAATCCATTCATACAGGACGAAAAGCAGTCTGCTACCTTCCTTTTTTTCCTCCACCTCTTACGCATTTCATTATGTGTGTTGCAGTTTCCTCTTCTCTGAATGAAAAAGTCTCTCAATAAATCTTGGGTCACCTTTTCTAAACTTCTGTTGCTTGGCTCACAGTTCTCTGTTATTGAAAGGAAATGTCCCTCTTTCTTAATGCCTGCTGCTGAAAACTGGATAAAATCTTCCTCCTAAGGCTGCAGTAGTAGCAAATAGATTGGAAGGATCACTTTGATCATAAAAGTCTATGCCATTCTTGTTTGTGCCTCGCTACACAAGACTGTTGTGCACTATGATATTGCTGATTCATATTTATGCTTATAACTGAGTACTATTCCCACCTCTTTTTTATGCAGAACTTCCACAAAGTGTCATGCTTTCTCCGCCATTACTGAACTCTCTACTATTTAATTCAGGCCTCTGCTCCAATCTGTCAAGATCATTCTCAATCCTAATTATATTTTCAAATGTGCTTGACCATTCTACTTTCTGATTGTCCAGAAACATAAAACACATATTATTCTTTCATCCAAGTCATTAACAAAGACATTGACTAGTTCTGGATGAGGACAGACTCCTCTACTTGACACTTCATTTCATCCTGACAAAGAACTTGTGGAGCAGGAGTTTCTAACTAGTCGTGCGATAACAGTTTCAGCTAAAATTTACTGCCCCGTATTGCTCGTTGGAATGTCACATGAAGGAGCTGAAAAGAAAGGCTTCTATCTTACTCAGGGCTTTCATATATGCATGGTATACCAAATTTATTGCTGCTTCTGTATTCTGTCAGAGAGGAAAGATGACAAACCAAAACCACCTTCTTGTTAAGATTAATTTGAAACACTTTTGCTCCACTGTGCTGTTCAATCCCTGTGAAACAAAGAATCAATGAAGGGCATCAAAAATTGTAGCAGTAGTTCAGTCAAGTGCTGTATTGAGTTTCAAAATGTGCATTAGCTATTTGTATTTAGACTTGTTAGTAAAAAGGAGTTAATATTTGAAAGTGGTTTTGGACTTGAAATCATTGAGCATTGTATTCACATGTCCTAAATTCACCAAATCCATGTGTCAGGTGTCTCCTACTGAGTGGCAACTCCCTACACCATGTCTTAGGCCATGTGAATCATTCCTCAAAGTCCTCAGAGACACTTAGCTCTCATAATTGACTAGACACTTGAAATTGAAGTGGAATTCAGGCTATCTTCATCATGATGAAAACACCAACTGAATTCATACCAACTGAATGACGTGTGAGTTGTTATACTAAAAGACAAGAATTTACAAAAACTGAGCTATTTGTCATCACTTGCATCCAACAGATTGGTTTATTTTGCTTATAGTTCATGCCTTCACTCACATCTGAAATGGCATTGTGGAGGTATCACCTGTGCTACGACAGACATTACAGACTCTTAAAAGACATGCACTAATGTAAACCAGGTCTTGGTAACCACAAGGCTTTTAAAGGAAGTTTAACAGTAATGCCCATTAACATTTTGGGACTTACGCTTCCTCTTTCCTATATTGTCCTCCCTCCTGCCCCCCAATAATTACTACATAAACACAAAAGCAACACTATATACATTCATACCTTTCAAAGACAGCATCTGCGTTCATTTCTGCATATGGGATGTGTAACGATCTGCAGCAGAAGGGATGGACATGTTCATTACAATAGATTTTCTCCGCTGCATGAAGTTGGGCAGAAGCAACCTGATTCATACTGAGCTTGGTCTGTACTGAGACTATTCCTGGAGTTCTAAAAATGTTTCACTGAAACCAATAATGCTTAATGTTTCTTTAAAATCACAGAATTTCCAAACCACCACAGCAATGGTGCGAAGTGATACAAAGATTTTGTTGGCACTCAGGACGTATACAATCTATTCCTGATCTTGAACCAAAACTTTCTCTATCCTTTCCTACACTGTTTCATCCCCACTCATTGTCCTGCATCTTTATTTATGAAAGCTTTTGAATTTTTCAAAATTAAATTTATTGCAACCTCCTTGGGATCATCTATATGCTGCACCTAAAGGTATCTTTGGTCTACACTACTTCCACCCTTCCCTTCTGACAAGCAACTGGAACAGCAATGGGGAAGGTAAGGTGAATCTGTGATGATCTGTGGCACTCCAAGGCAGAGAAACGGCAATAAGAGTTAAAAGCTATAATGCTTTTATCTCTCTGTCTTCCTATTGATAACAATGACTGTTACTCAATTTTAAATGCCGTAAATTAATTTTGGGACATATTTTAGCAATAACTGTTAGGAATTCAAGCTACAGATGTAGGTATTTCTATGTGTATTCATAGAATACAGGACCAACTCCCAAATTGTGACACAAGGCTATTGAACAGGTCATATGGTTTTAGGAACACTCACAAACTCACTCTTAGACTTACACATTTGTTATGCAGCACACACTGTTACAGTGCTCTCTAGCAGAACATGGTGTCTCACACTACAGAAGCAGGGAAGAAAACGGAGTTATCTGTGTGGGTGAATAGATACTCTAGTCACCGAATGGTTTAGCAGCTACTGGAAGGCTGGAGAAGTTCAAAAGAAAGAAAATTACATTCCAGACAAGTCTTTTGCTTGTAGTAGAGATGGACTGTAATAGAGTTCTAAATTTCCTTCATTGTAAAGGAGGCAAATATAACTCTCATTAACATATGGCAGAAGTGCAAACTTCCATGTAGCGTTACTAAATATACAGATGTTTGCTGGTATGCAAGTTCCACCATCTTTACTCAGCTTTTGTTTAATACAGACTTAGAAACCTGGTGCCTACATAGAAACTCCAAAATACACCCTGTCTATAGACTAATTATAGCGCCTATTTTTTAGCCCCTCTGGCAGCAGTGATTAGCAACTATAATCAGTATTGGCAAAATAAAATCAAAGCCATTATACACTTTATGACATTGCAAGGAGAGACATTCAGACTTCTCTAAGGAGATACCAATAGCACCTGAAATTACAACTGTGTTTTAAAATGCAAACAAGCAAGCAAGCAAAACAAAGACCATCCACACTTTTGAGTTTTAAAATATTTGTATCACTGCTAAATAATTTACAAAAATAAGAAAATACTCCTACTCCTAGTGCCATATAGGCAAATTCTGTTTAAACTGCTAGAAGCTTCTTTTCTATGAATTTTAATGCATGAGCATGTGACAAAAGGAAGCTACAGCCTAGTGCCTATATAAACTTTAATAAATAATATATTTTGCCATATTCATCTTCTAAACTAAGTAAATGACACAAGTAGACCCTCAGAAGGACAGGATTTTCAAACCAGCTTAATTCTCTTATTCTAAAGCCTTAACCCAAAGGATTTTTCTTTTCCAAGGTTACATGACTTGATTTAGCAATGGACTGCATTCTCAAAACAGCAGAAAACAGATGGAAAAATTTATTGTGCCACAGTTGGCGTGTACATCTAAACACACCTGCATGCTGGATTGTGATTTCATTGCATTTCCAGCGGCTGCTTCTGCTTCCAACACGGTGCTTTGACAGTCCAATTCACACAGCCCTGGGGTGCAGCCCTTCCCTCACTGCTGTTAATGGTATATGTGCTGCATACATACCACAGCCAGAGAGGGCACAGAGGCAGTGGAGGTTAAAGCTGAATTTAGAGTTTCACCCCTTGTTGAAGATAACCCTGCAATAAGTAGTTACCTGGTCTTTTGGGCCCCCGGCTATCCCAGGAAACAAAATCTGGCACACCTTGTGCCTTGCCTGTTCAGTGTCCTCCTGCAATCCTCATGCCACTCTGCAGGGAAACATGTCAGATATTCACTTGATATCACAGCAAGTTTTCTAACCAGAAAAGCCAAGCTAGTTTATGAGTGTAAAAGCTTGACATACTCATTAGACCCAGGCTCACTTGGAAACTACCTTAAGTCACAAAGTCAGTGTCAGGGAAAGTTTATGTCCACAGCACTCAGAGAGAAAACGCTTCTCTAAGCCTGGG